GAAACGTTTAAATAATAAATAGCTGCGGTCCCTAGGGGCGTGGTGGCAGGAGACCTTTCAATTTGCATAGAAGCAAAGGTTTCCATTCTTAGCCCATCCAAACTTAAAACAAAATGGGAGCAAGCAAAACTCAGACAAGAAGTGGTACTGACAAATTCTGAACCAAGGCAAAGACACCAGCCGAGATGGGAGTTCTTTGGCATGCAGGGGAATTTAAATCTCCAGATTTCAGTTGGTGCCAAGATCTTAAAGTACAACAGGCTTTTTGTGGGTACCTCACAGATATTAAAGCCTGCCAGAGCCACAGAGGACAAAGTCACTGTATTCTGCTTGTGACACCAAATGACAACTCTAAAAGGAGGAATCAAAAGGTCAGGTAGCAGTCAGAGACTGTACCACCCAAGAGGGGCAAGAGGGCTTACATTTATAGAAATCAATTCAGATGACATACATGATTTGTCAGATTATTTTATTGGTTGATTAAACAAAGAAGTCTATAATGATTAGTAGAACAGTGCATTTGTATCAGTTAGCAAGAAAAAGCTATGTAGTGCCCTTAAACACAAGGATTCATTTCTTTGTATTGTGTATTGTTGAGGACACGAAGGTTTGCAAAAGGAACGTGGTTTTCACAGTCCATTTGTGGGTCCCAAAGTTCATTAGCAGTTCAAAATAGAGTCAGCAGCTCAAGTTGGAGTCACTTAGAACATTGCTAAACTCATTGCTAAACTTGTATGGCTTCTGAGTGAGGGCCAAGGCAAGTGGACAATCCAGGCTCTGCAGAGCCAACAGGACCAAGACAGGCTTATCCTCCTCAATGACAGGCTGCATCAGTGTCTGGAGAGGCTGAAGGACACTGTACAAGTGATTTTGGGGAACATGCATCCCGTCTCCCCAGACCTCAACCCCAGTGTGTCACTACTCAGCCTGAGCCTCAGCCAGGAGAGCTGCCTTAGAGGCCTCCTCCACACTGGTGCCAGGGGTCAGTGCACAGCCACTGGCCTTCATAAGTGTGGGTTCCTCAGAAGCAGACACTGGGCCTAAGAAAGGAATGTGGCCAAGGAATAATCACTGATAGGGGAGGGAGAGGGGAGACTGGGAAGGGAAGGGAACCACCCCAGGCCGGTGCTGTGGGCAACTGAGGCACCAGCCCTGCTGTTCCAGCCTCCTGCTCTCCACACACAAACACCACCATTCAGTCCCATGACCAACTAGTCCTTAAATTACCTGCCCTTTATGAAGGTCCAGAAGTACCTTCTGCCTTCTCTCACCATGGTATTACAAAACCACCATAACAGGGAGGTGAGGTTTGATATTTCAAATAATTCTGGTGGCTGGACTGCTCTCCTTTACAAGAAAGTAGACAGGCTTGCAGAATTAAATCTACTGCCCAGCAGTACAACAGAATGTGAAGAAATTAAATGATGTTTATTCACTAAAGGTAGCCTGAAAACTATATACAATCAAGATACAGAGTGAGCAAGAATAGAGAACTCGCATTAAAAAGTTTTTAATGTAAAAATAACTTTAACATAATTTTTGAACAAAAGGGGGAATCAAAGTGATTTAAGATGCTTTCTTTGTTTCAGTATTGTACAACTAGAGTTGTGTCAGGCTGGGTGAACCAAAGAGATGACTTACTTCTATTTTCACAATGGGGATGGAGGTTTCCATGGAAAAACCTGGGCCATGATGGCTGAAAAGGGAGACAGAGATATGCGAGCCAGTGCCCTGCAGAGAAGTAGCCTGACCACACAGGCCCTAGAGCTCACTGTGGATACCCTGAGCCTTTTGTCAGTTGTCAATAATAATTTTAACTGTGTTTTAGCTCTTTCTATTTGTGATTTTGTGGAGTTTGCTTCCCTCCTGGAGAGCCAGGAGCTTTCTTGCAAGAATAGACATGAACTGCTCTTACTCTGAATATTGAGGGGATTTTTTCCCTGACAATGTGTTGTTACAATGCATATAATGTTTCTGAGCACAAGAGTGGACATGTCCAGATCACCAGACAATTTTGTGTTCCTATCTTCCTCCAATCCAGGGCAAAACTTGCTGATAGCATTTCCTTTTTCTACAGCTAGTGCTGAACTACTCACTGTCTTACTGTAGAGAAAGCCTTTCTTTGACTGCCTAAAAAATTCTGCCTTTAAAGCAAGAGAGCTGTGAACACATGAAGTATCCTAGCACCTTCCACCATCTCTCACAAATATCCAGAAACAGTGAGACTTGGTGTCTCATCATCAGGGGATTCTGCAATGAAACTCTTCAGTATCACTTGGGCTTCCAAAAGGTCAGATCACCAGTAGGATGAAGTGCCTCCATAGTGGCCCAATCTCATGTAGAGGGCCCTGCAGGCACTATAGCCAGCTTGAACATATCACACTGCAGAGATCACTGAGCTGGGTTCCACCAGAAACCAATTCTGTGCCAGGAAACCAGAGCTGACCATAAAACAATCATTATAGTGGAGGAAAAAAAAAAACACAAAAAGAGTTAATAGCACAATATGGATTAACCTTGAGTATATTACGCTAAGAGAAATAAGCTAGTCTAAAAAAAATCCAAATATAATATGATTCCACTTATATGATGTACTTAGAGTAGTCAAAATTATAGAAACAAAATAGAATGATGGTTGCTGGGGGCTGGTGGGACAGGGAAATGGGGAATTATTGTTTAACAGGTATAGATTTTCAGTTTTACAATATAAAAAGTTATGGAGGTTGATGTTGGTGATCACTTAAAAAATGGTTATATAGCAAATTTTATATGTATTTTAGCACAATAAAACTATTGGGAAAAAAAGTTAATATGAAATTGGTTAGGAACCTCTGCTTTCCGGCCAGACATCCCTGGTTCAACTCCTGTGCCTGCCACTTACAAGCTGTGTGACTTTGAACAAGATATATAACAAAATATAACCACAGTTGTTTGGAGGTAAAATGGCTAATAACATAGTGTGGTATGCTGAATAATGACCTTATCTACCACCAAAAATGTCCATATGTGAATCCTTGGAACGGGTGAACTTGTAACTATGTTACTTTACATGGTAAAAGGAACATCTTGGATGTGACTTAGCTAGAGATCGTGACATGGACATGTTATAGTAGATTATCCAGTTGAGCTCAATGTAATCACAATGATCCTTACACCAGAGAAATAAAAGGATAAGTGTCAGTACTAGAACATGTGATACCCCAAGTAAGAAACTGAAATGATGTGAAGAAGTCATGTGCCAAGAACCAGTCCTGCTGACACCTTAGCCCAATGAAACTCATACTGGACCTCTGAACTCCAGAACTGTAAGAAAATTATCTTTATTTTTTTAAGCCAAACTTATTTAACTAACATAAAACACACAAAATACCTAGCAACAGTGTGAGGAGAATCACAAGTTGATTGAAGGGGCAGGTGCTGTCGGAGGAGAGATTACAAGTTTCAATAAGATACTCAGGACAGGCCTCATGGACAAGCTGACTTTGCACATGTACAAGAGTGCCTGCCTGCCCACAAGTTTACCAACACTTATATTAATACATTTTAATTTTCCAATCAAGTAGGTTCAAAAGATATATAATGTAGTTTTAATTTGCACTTTTTGCTCTTAACCTATTTTCGTGTTTAATAACCATTTTCATTTTCTCTTTTCTGTTGTTCATTGGTTTTCCTGACATATTGTTTAGTAGAAAAACAGAAAGTTGTAGAAAATACGTGTAGTATGAGCCTAATTTTATAAAGAATTTTATTTAATCCATACATATGGATGTGTTTGTGTATAAGGGTACTTCAAAGGTTTGTGGAAAAATAGAATTAAAAGATAACACAATCTTTCCATGAAGATTTGAAGTGCCCTCATATATTATGTGTCTGTGTTTACATGTGCACTTATATACAGATGCACACGTGCACCTATACACTAACACATTAGCCTTAAAACGCATGACATGGTGTCTTCCTCCGGGAGATGAGCTTGGAAAGGCTGGTGAGTGATGCCACTTCTCATCTCATACACTTCAGGACAGAATGGAGGAAAAGAGATGACAAGAATTTGATGTGTGTAAGATCTTCTGTCATCTGTGCTTTAAAGAGATGTCATGAGGCTAATGATTTGAGGGCTATAGCATCAGATTAATATCACATTTATTTTATGAATAAAACATGCATAGGAAAGTAAAAGAGTAATAAAATCTGATGAGGCTTTCAGGGGTTTTGCTCTTGTTTGAAAAGAGAAAAACTACACTCAAAACCTTGATTAACAATACAAAACCAGATTTTACTCTAACAAGAAGTGAAAAGAATATTCCAAATCTTCACTCTGTGTTCACACGAAATCAAAGCAGGGGCACGAGTTCTAATACTTCATACTTACATTAAGTGTTAGTAACATTGCTCTTCATGGCTGATCCTCTCAATACTTCCCTACAGGTGGGAGCGGCTCCTGGACACAGTTTCTGTCTCTCTGAAATCCAAACCTGCAGTAACTCCAGGTGATACTCAGCATACAGAGGTTTCTACCCTTGTCCCCTTTGTCCCTCTCTGTGCTTATCATTATGAGGAACAGCATGGCCTCTTGAGATTCTACTGTTTTTTCATTTCTTAACTGCATTATGAAAAAAGAAGGAAAGTCTGAAAACTGACCCAGCAATTAATAATGCTTTTTATTTAGAAAATGGAGAGGAAAAATGGCTCTAAACTGTCAAATACAAATTATTTTTCTCAGTGATATATGATAACATATTAATAGCTTCAGCATTAGATAAGTGTTAGCATATGTTAACACTAGTGTTACAGAGAATAGGAAATAGCAGACATATTTGTGCAGTGAAACATAAAACACTCTTCTTAGTGGAGGCTGGATATTCACTAGATCTTCAGGGAATGGGGACATGCAAGAGGAGAGGTCAGAGAAGGCATCTTTTATAGTAAGAAGGAGGTGGACAATGCCCCAAGGGGAGCTGCAGACAGCAGCACAGCAGCGGCAGAAGGTCTGCCCTTCTTCACACAGGAATGAAACAGAGCTGGTACGAGTGCGGCACATACATTAATCCGTTGAAAACAGAAGTGGTATCGAGGTCCTTTGGGTCAGCCAGAGATTTCAGGGTAAAGTTCTGTAAAATGGTGGTCAGGAATAAAAACAGCTCCATGCGGGCCAGGCCTTCTCCCACACACATTCTTTTTCCTGAAAATAACAAACACAGAGGGTAGTAACACCATGTGTGTTACTGTGACTCTGACAAACACTGTGTTTGTGACAGTCACAAAGAGAATACACGGTAACCGTTTGATGAATGATTGGATGAATAATGGATGGATGGATAGAAAAAAAGATGGATAGAAGGCAGGATGGCTAGAAGCATGGCTTGATAGGCAGATGAATGAAGAACAGACACACATGCCACCCACCGAACATCTGATCTTAACAGGCATCCTTCATTCAACAAATATTTCTTCAGTATCATCCTGATGCCAAACACTTTGTTAACTATTGCCACATTATAACTGCTCCTCTTTGTTTCCACCTGTATTTTTTTAGAAAAACACCCACATTCTTGTGTTTTCTGTTCCTAGTCTGATTTCATGATCTTTCTCTCCATTTCTCACATCCTGTGTGCTCAGCTCCTGCCATACACTATCTTCATTAATCTCAAACACACTGTGCAGTTTCAAGTTTTAACTTATGTTAATGCCTTTGGCCAAGATGTCCTTTTTTCATACCACATTCAGGACCTGGGTCAAATTTCACTTCCTATCCACACTCTTTATTATTTGCCCAAACAGTAAAATCTTTCCCTCTCTGGGTTTCTTCAATATCATATGCAAGCTTCCATTGAAGCATGGATCACTTTGAATCACTATCCTTGACTTATTTCTTTTTTTCCACAGTGCTAAAATGTAAATCTTGAAGAGAGGTCGCTGTCCCTGCTGTGTTGGTGTTTACAGTGCCAGATATGAAGCTGACATCAGAAGTCACAGAATAAGGAAAGGAGATTCCAGGGCCAGAGTCCCAGCACACACACATTGCAGGTGTGGAGATCCAACACCCAAGACATATGGCCATAATTGAAGGAAGAGCAGAGTGCTCTGAAATTATTGCGGAGTATCCTGCCACATTGCCCCTGTTTCCCTGAGCCTGTTGTTATTTGGCAGAAATTCTGACAGTCTTGATGAACAGTAAATGTTCTGCTCTTGTGGTTTATTACCTCCGTACTATGCCTCTTCTTTCCATTTTCTCTCCCCCCATTAAGGCAGTTCAAATGTCATTTCTGCTGTTAGAATTCTGCTCACTCAATTTTATGCCTCTCTTTGGGGTATAACAGTCCAAGAAACAGGCAGCTTCTCCCCAACCCCCTACCCCACCAGCCACCCTTGCTTTCCTCTCTCACAGAACTCGCCCTACTGGATGACAATGATCTGTTTACTCATCTACTTCTCTAACTAGGTGTGAGGCCCTTTGGCGCCCATTGTGTGCTTGTGGATAGTTGTACAGCCTGGAGTGGGTTTTTGAGGGACACCAAAGAGAAGATACTCAAAGGTGGGGAGTTAGGAAACTTTCCATGGCAGGTGAGGAATGTCTAAATGAGTTTCACCTTCTAAGAGGAGATCTTGGGTACCTTAGTTTTATATCTAGGTGCAGAACGTGATCAACCTATACTCTAGCTTTCTCAATTTGGAAGAACCAGGACAACTCACCAAGCACCACTAATCTGGCCCAATAATTATGATGTATCATGAACAGGAAAAGAGCATGGGCATTGGGAGTGGTGCTCCTGATCATGGACCAGCCCCAGAGGAAACATCACATGAGTTCCAACTGAGCCCAAAAAGTGACCTTGTCCACTGAAGTACCAATGGGAATAAATTTCTATTACCTGCTGAGAAGGGCATGAAGTAGTCACTTTTCTTAAAGTTTCCACTCTCATCCAGAAAGTGGCCAGGGTCAAACATCTCTGGGTTTGGGAATTCTTTGTCATCATGAAGCACCGAGGTCAGTGATATTAACACAGTTGTGCCCTGGAATGAACAGACACAGGTAAACTGAGTTATAAAAAATTTTGGATCTGAAAGAAACAATGGAAATCACTTGGTTCATTTTCTTTGATCTACAGAGGAGAAAACTCTTGTCCAAAGAAGAGCAGTGACATTTCCAGCCAGCCATACCACAAAATAAACAGGGATGAGTTTAAGGCCAGTGGCAGTGATCTTGCTCATGTGGCCTCTAACCAGGAACCATCTCATTACTTGAGGAATGTAGGATAACCAAAAACAACATTAATGACATGTGCCCTCACCTCACCAATGTGATTCAGTGGGACATATGTAGGACCTTTGGTGTTTTCCTGCCAAAATCATAACCAGAGTCAAATGTCTGGAAACATTCACATTAAACCAGCCTGAGGAACATTTTTATTTATTATACATATTCATGGGGCAAGAGCTGACTGTCAGCACCTGTGCCCAAGATGTGATGAGCAAATACATGCTATGAGCATGCCCACCACCTCAAGTTGCAATTATTACCTGGGTCCCCCACCCAACCTCTCCCCAATGCCCCTCTCTCTACTCCTCCCCTGCCCTGGCTACCCTACGTCTGTTCTCTCCCTCTGCAAGTTCTTCATACCAATGTGGGCTTTCTTTCCTTCCTTCTTTCTGTGTTAGCTCCCATGTGTGAGTGAGGACATGAGGTATTTTTCCCTCTATGAAGGGTTTATTTCCACTTAACATAATTTTCTCCAAGCTCATCCACGTTGCTACAAAGGTAAGAATTTCATTCTTTTTTATGGTTGAGTAGTATTCCATTGTGTATATATACCACATTTCTTTATTCAGTCATCCATCGATGGACATTTAGGTTGGTTCCATATCTTGGCTATTGTAAATAGAGTTGTGATAAACCCAGGAGGATTAGTGATGGTGAGCATTCTTTCAAGCACCTGTTGGCTATTTGTATGCCTTCCTTCAAAAATGTCTATTCAACTCCTTTGCTCATTTTAAAAATTGCATTATTTGGGGTTTTTACTATGTAGTTTTTTGAATTCCTTGTATATTCTGGATATTATTCCCTTGTCAGATGTATAGTTTGCAAATATTTTCTCCCATTCCGTAGGTGGAATTTTCACTCTGTTGATTGTTTCCTTTGCTGTGCAGAAGCTTTTTGGTTTGATATAATCCTATTTATTTATTACTACATTTGTTGTTTGTGCTTTGGTGTCTTTTTTCCACAAAGATAATTTATTATACATATTTGAGTGGTACAAAGTTGACTTTCAATAGTTGTTTACAATGTGCAATGGTCAAATCAGGGTAGTTGGCTTATTCATCATTATAATACATAATCATTTTTTGTTTCCCTGGACCAGTTTCTCATTAACCCCCTTCGCTTTTCCATTCCCCTCCCATTCCCACCTCTAATAACAACAGTTAGGTTTTCTCTTTCCGAAAGTTCAATGTATTATTGTGATTATTGTTTCCTTCTCTCTCGATTGTTTATTTGTTTATTTATGGATTCAGCTCCTAATTATGAGTGAGGATACATGATATTTCTCTTTCTGAACCTGAGTTGTTTCACTTAGAACAATTCTTTCCTGGATGATCCATATTGCAGAATTGGCACAGACTCCAGCCTCAGAGGGACCTGCCCACAGCCCCAGCAGGCACTGAGGTGAAAGAAGTCCTATGTGCCTTCAGGGACCCGGAATCCAGCCTCAGAGAGACCAACCCACAGCTGGAACAGGAGCCAAAGTTGTGTACCATAG